GAGGTAACCGGCAATTTTGAAACGCTCATGGCGGCCATGTTTGTTTACAACTCGCCCGCGGATCTGATCGCGCGCGCCATCACTTAACTCTCTCGCGAGTAATAAGCTTGCGTGTATCTTGGAATCCATTCTCCCCGCGGTAAAAAAAAACCCTTTCGAGCCTCCTTAATCTCGCGCTTCTTTCGCACGTTTCTCTCGCGCGTGACGCTAGAGTGATCTGTTCCCCGCGCGAGGAAACTGGTACGAACCACCTTAACTTAATTTTGTTGTTTTGTCTCGTCTTGGTCTGAAAGCGAACCAAACTCTCAACTTATAGTGACAAAATTGTGCGCACCGTTAGCAGTTTTTATGCATACCAGACAATCTAAGAAAACATCATGATAGATCTGATAACTAAGACCCGTTCCATACTTTTAGACATGAATACGTGTAGATTGGAATAAGAATATCAGAAGTTAATCATCCTATGTCAAGACTCGTTCGCCAAATTAAAAAGAAAAATTTTAAGATTTGTTCCTTACCTGAGACGGTTGTTTAAGAATACACGTTCTGTGGGTGACCGTGAGTTTCCGAGGCCAGTCGTAAAGCAAATAGAATTGTTTCAGTTAGATAATGTTGAGTTAAAACCCAGAGAAGCTGTCTCCTTAGAAACAAATATGGTTTAATTTTGGTAATGCAGAACTGAAATAAGCCTGCAGTCGGTGGTGAATAATTTAAAAGTACTGCATTATTAACACCATGTATTCACACGTTCAGTGCACAGGTATCCCACGTTTGCTTTAATCACCTATGATGATAAGTGATATAATAGTAATAATAATAATAGTAATAATAATAATAAAAATAGTAATAATAATAATAGTAATAATAATAATAAAAAAATAATAATATAATAATATAATAATAATAATATAAGAGGTTCTAGAGTCCCGTTTAAATCACGCGAGGTCGCAGAAGACTTCACCCTCGCTGTAGCTGGTCTACATCTGCACTCATAATTTTTAGGTCTTTATTATTTTAATAATTTTTCCTATTTAGTAATGCTAAAGTTTTTCTTTTCTCATATATTGTAATCAGTCCTCTATCGTGAACATTAAAATTAATTATTTTAAAAATTTGTAAATAATTAGATATATGGTTTAAAATTGTAAATAATTGCTATCATTATTATTAAACGAAGCGGGCCAATTTTTATCATAATTTTTGTAAATACTTTTAGTGATTACAGTGAATAATAACAATAATAACAACAATAATAATAATAACAATAATAATAATAATAACAATAATAATAATAATAATAATAATAACAATAACAATAGTACTGATAATACATCGATATAGCACCAAAATCGACTCGCTCTCCTCTTCACCTTACAAGGCTTTCTACAAAAATCTATGGTTAAGAAATATTAGAATTAATCGTAAATATGGGCTTGTTTGTTTTTAATCCTCCACATGAAATGACTCGCAAGCCCAGCGTAAAGGAACAGTCGTGAGAATTTGGGAACAAGTTTGAGTTAAGAAATCGCTAAACAGTTAGAACCTTGATTGACATGCACATCCATTCCTGGAAGTCATAAGTTAATACAGAGTTTTTCTGCACCGTGTCTTAAAAATACAAAGTCACTCCTCCTTGTTGGGACGTACAGAAGTCATGAAACATTTAACTGGTACACAAGTACAATGTACTTTCCCTCAACTTCCGTGGGGGGAGCGTCGCGTGACATCATCCTTCAAAACGACTGCAAAGGAGACTACAGTTGTAGACCTTTTTCCTCGAAAAAGCTCAAAATTTCAGTTGGAACGCTGAGGGAAAACATATTTTGGTCTTTTAAAACGGAAAATTCCGGGAAAATGGGAGGTCATGCAAAGTAGTCTATAATTTTTCCAAACGCAAAATGTTCGTCCCACTTGCTAATCGCTACCAGTTCCAGGCCTATGAGCTTAGATCGCCCGGCTACTAAGGCTGCACATGAAACAGAGCGGCATGTGCATGTACGTATCAGTGTAGCGGCGGCGGCTTTCCATCAGAATGCTTTTCAAATCTCTGCAGTTTTGTTTGTCCCAGACTTGGTTAGCAATATAAATAACTACTATGAATCATACAGGTTGTTTCCTGAATACTTATTTTATCATAGTTAATTCTTAAGTCTCAACGCGAGCGTTGGTTATGTTTACTGTTGCGCGTGCGCTCTGCTTAAATAAATTTTTGATAAAGTTCGGATATAACGCGCGCTTTCATTGGTTAAAAGAGCGTGCTCTATCAGGTACAAAACACGTCAAAAATGTAATTTCTGACCATTTTTGGTATATTGACAGGAATAAAGTAAGTTTTTTTTTATTTCTGTGTGGTGTATACGAAAAAAGATTTTACCATAAGTGAAAGGGGTTCGGTAAATATCCGCCACTACTTACTTCCACGTCCGTGAATAATTGGCAATAACTGACCATTCTGAAATCTTGTTTTACCGATGCAGAGAAACATACACGCATAGGAAGCATTCTTCACCTGGTCAATCCAAGCTTTTCTGAACACCCTTCGAGTCCAAGTTTTACGAAATACGAGGTTTTACCACTGAGTGCATTTATCGTGCAAATTATACTGCGTTGGTTACCTCACGTTGTGGAGCGCCTTTGTGGACTGCCGTGCAGGAAGTCGTGGGTTCAAGCCCCAGACCAAACCAACTCTCAGAATCCTAAAACAACCAAAGAGAATGTGTTGCCTTTGCTATGACATCTACAAATGGTAAGACGTTGTAGTCTTCGCGGATAAGGACGATGAACCATAGGCCTCGTCTCCTGCATCTTCTCAGTACTGGTTGGCAGGGGACGATAAAGAGCCCACGCACCTCTCGCAAAGAGTAGTCCCGCAGTTTAAGGATTCTCTTTCATTGGGGTGTTACGGTTTGCATCTCGCGCATTTTTAGAATTCTCTCTTATTCGATTGTTACGTGCATTTTTTTGATACTTTTTTACCGGATTGATACGTCAGTATCTCTCGCACTTTTAGGATTCTCTCTCATTCGATTGTAACGTAAGTTTCTCGTGCAATTTTTAGTAATCTCCTTCAATGGATTGTTACGTCATATCTTGCACACTTAGGATTCTCGTTCATTCGATTGTCATGGTAGTATGTAGCACACGTATGAATTAATTTTTATTCTGTTGCTATGTTAGTATCTCGTGCACTCTTAGGATTCTCTTTCATTCGATTGTTACATTGGTATCTTGCGCACTTTTAATATTTTTTTTTTTGTTGATTGCTATGTTAACTTAAGTTTCTTGCGCACTTTTAGGATTGTATTTCCTTTGATTGTTACGTAAGTATCTCGCGGACTTTTAGGATTCTCTTTGAATCGGTTGTTATATGGGTATGTTGGACACTTTTGAGATTCTCTTTCTTTCGATTTTTACATTAGGATCTCGTGCACTTTTATCATTCTATAATGTATAATGGTAATTGAACTGAGGGGGTTGCAATTTGGCCTGAAATCACAAGTATGAACTCAGACAAAATTGCACGACTGAAAGTTTAATGACCACTTCATTATATCCATTTAGTTTATGATTCAGTACTGAGCTGGATGGTAAAAAGTTTCAAAAGAACCCTCAAACCCCAAATCGTGGAGAAAAATACTATTGGTTTCTTCAAACAAGCCTTGAAATCCAATTGATTGTTCTGTTATAGTATAGGTTTCTCATTGGCTAGAAAAAGATGTGATTTAGAGCAAAAAATATGAGATTCGTGACTAAATCGCACCAATGAGAGTCAATCAGATTGCAGTGATCACCAGTGATTTCAAATTGGATTTAATAAATCACGCGATAACCCCCCTTTAAGTCAATATTTGTTCTCTAAATAATTCCGTCGAAAATAATCAAAGTCAGCGTAAAAAAGCCAGAGCAAAAGTTTTCCATTTTCATATCAATTTTTTTTACATGGAAGAAAAGCGAACTCGTTTTGTTAAGTCAAGTGATAGTGACGTCAAAAGACTAATCTCAAATGCAGCTCTGAAAAGTACAAAAACTCAGCGAAATTTGCTGTCAGATATGAAAAATTGATATGTGAATTTTCATATCACTTTTTCAATTTGAAAAAGTGATATGAAAATTAATGGAGGGCTTATAGAATAAGCGAACCCCCCTGGCTTGCAGGTATATCGGCTGATATTGTCCTTGGCTGAGAGATTGTCCTCAAAATTTAACATTTGTCCTCCAATACTCGTCGCCTCATTTATCCAGGTGAGAAAGAGTCGAGCTGCTTTATGCTTTTCATATCATACTAAGGCTACTGTGAGCGGAAATAAAGAGGTTGGGTTTTGTGTTTGAAGAAAAAGCGGGCTTCAAGAGAACATTACGTCGGGAATTCGAAACTTTATTGTTCAAAGAATCGGCTGAACACATAGATTACACAAAGAAAAAATTTCTTTAGTTTTTTAAATCTATGATTATGATATGTGTGGGTCGTTACGTGCTATGAGTATAGCTACTTTATAACCAGGTGGAATAGAATGAAGGGTCGTAATTGCTTTCCTTCTTCAACTGAGAATCTCGATCACCTCTTCTGGTCACTTCGCCTAACGTTACGCGTCGGTCCAACCATCCAGAGTTGCTTCGTAATGTATGGATAGATGTTGTGCGGCTGCGGGAATCTTCGGAGACTGTCGCTAGTGACTCAGCGTGATTTCGTACGTCTACAGGAAACGATTCTAGGTGATTTTCAGGCCGCCTTCGGAAAAGATCTGGGGTTGATTGGTCCATTCTTAACAACAAAAAACTATTTGAATAGTGTTGCCGAATATCTCCAGATTTAGGTTTCCATTTTGGTAACTGATTCACCAATTTTTCCTCACGAAAAATTATACTGTACATCTTTGCCGAAAATATTGGAAACAACACAGCTGAAGCGCCCAAAGGGTAGCTTAACCTAATCGCTCTTCCTCGGATCAAGTTCTGACTGCCCATGGTACAAACTATTGTCAAAACAATAAAATGCAGTGTGTCAGCTGTATATAGCGCCAACCCTAAACTTTTGGTTTCTTTGAACTGCTTTGGGAGCTTACGGGTTTTGAATGTGTAGATCCCACAAAGGGTAAGAAGGCTAAGGTAGAATGAGTTGGTGACCACCACGTGCAAGTTTGAGATGTTGCATTGGACAATAACCTCTTCTGCTGAGTAGATTCTCAAAACACTGTCTTGGTAGCTGCAAACAAATCAAAATCGTATGAGGTGCTCGTTTAGAATTATTCTTGAGGTCTCTTTTGACCGTTCCCTTTCAGGGATTCGCAATAGGCTTAGCCTCTCCGGTCGTGAGTGGATCCATCAGGTTGGAGCTTATCCCTACAGATTACATCTGGATGGAGCACGTCAATTAGTGACAAGCTAAATGAATTATAGGTCTAGGAACATATCTTTACACTATCTCTCGGAAATTCAATACTTACTATCGTCTCAGAAAGCGTTACCCAACTGTGTTTAGGGCTTAGCCTACAGAAAAGGTTACCCACAGTCCAAAAAATATTTTGTTTTTTTGATGCACAACTCATCAATAAAGAAAAGATTAATGAGACCTTTACGATAGCTGCCTCCTATAGACTGCTGCAACATTAGCTTAGGTAGTTAAAAAAAATTAAACGTAAACTACCATCATCAAATAAGATAAGTTAACGCTGTCATTACTTTTTGTTAAACACTTACGTAAAAAATCCCCAAATCGTGGAGAAGAGTAGGGCGATCCCCAAGATAAATCCTATGAATCCTAGCTGTGAGCGTGTGCTGACAAATGTAGGATTCAATGTCTTAAGGAGTGAGCTATTGAAAAGACGATTCACTCTCAGAGCCTTCGAAGTCATCACAGCATAACAAGTGACATGGCCTAAACAGTTGTATCCTCTTAAACTGCAAACGCGTTTATCTAGGGATAAAAGACATACATATATTCAATAAGGTTCGGGGAGCATCAATGTACGGTTTCCATACCCAGATAAATACAAACGCGACAAAGCGATATATCAAATCCGAAGAGTCAATGTCTGCATGATTGCAGCAATTAAAAAAGATATTGGATCCTCAACAAAAGGAAAATCCCTTTTAGATGAAATTCATAGAATTTGCCAAGAGCACTTTTACAGATTTGCTCTTCGTCCCCTAATTCCAAGGTGAACAGGAGTGAGAGTGTTAATTTTTGTAATGGGACAAAACCTAAAGGGGATGAACATGGATACATTACCTGGCTCCATTAAATCCAAGAAGCTTTCAGCGAAAGATATCATGATTCCAACCAACAAGAGGCAGCTTAGCTCGCGACTAGACGCTTTGATGACTGGATGATGCTTGAGGACGACGAACACACCCAGCATGAACAAAGTACAGAGAATTCCTGTGGCTGAGAACAACTTGGTGAAGAGAAGCAGAGATGACGACGAGTCGATATTGATAACAGGTTTAGGTAGGCATTTCACTCTTTTTTCATCTGGCTAAAGTAAACAGTATAGCTAAACAGTTAGTCCATTCTAAGTCAGACCAACGATGATATTAGTGTTCTCTCGACCAAGTGTAGTATGACCAAAACCAAGTGAAGAAGTGAAAAAAAATCCCAATCAGTCAGCGAGAATTTAACTGGAACTCAAGAAAAAAACAATCAGACACGTAACGAAGCGCGAGTGATTTGATAAGTTTAAATCGGAAACACGAGTTTATAAGCCAATTAAAGAGAGCGTTGGAGAAAAACTAACGCAATCTTTGATTTCTTTCGACATTTTTTTGATAAATGCTTCAAGCAGCTGTCTCATTTCGATAAAGACTACATGGAAAACAAAGTGAGAAATCCTGAAAAGATGGTTTTAATCATAATTTCGAAAAAGTAATCCAGATTTTAACTTCATGAAACTCCAAATAGATGTTATTCGTTAATATGTATGCATAAAATGTTCCAAAGTTGTTGTTTTTCTCGTAAATGCTCAACTCAAGTTAATGGAACACACTTGTGACCAAGGTTGGAAAAATAGGATGACAACAAAAGTGAACAAGTCAAGCAGAGACTTCATATACCATGGCAAAGCATGCCGCCGGAGTTCTGCTTCAAAACATTATACCCTAAGTTGTTAAAACTGTTCTCAAATAGTGAGTACTGATACAAATCTAAAAAACAACATGTATAAATATAATTGCAAAGCCGTATTACCATGAAGTCTCGTGTGCATGGTGTACATTCCGTCTGATTACTCGATGTGATCTCATCGGCTTTACATGGTTCACATCTCCAACAGCAAACCTCGATAGTAATTTGTCTTTCTCCCACATCACATGGACGACTACAATAGGCTCTGGGCAGTATGAGTGCTTCTTCAAATAGCTGCACTTCAACAGGCCCCGCCCCTTTTATCGGTGGACCCCAACGGCCGATTCTTTTGACGCCCCACGATATCCCGTCTTTCACAGGTCTCAATATGTCATATTCTGCGGAAATATCTCCATTTTTGTCAAATTCTATCCGCCGTCCGTTCAACGTCGTATAATTTACATCCAAAATGTAATCCATCAATAGGTTTTGATTCCGTGATTTTTCTTTCAAACACGTTGCAGCGCTGGAATTATTTTTACAATAAGTTTTGCAAATTTTGTCCAGTGCGTGAGCAAAAGTGTACACGGAGTTGATGACGCTTTGAATGTATAAATCTGCGGAGTATGCTTTTCCTTCATTTTCAGGGCGGTATTTTGAGGTTTTATATTGCAGCTCTATCTCTGAGAGCCACGGGCTATGACTTACGTTGTTCCTCTTTCTCCATTCCATGAATCTCGTTGACCTTTCATTCCGTGGTGAACACAAAACTATATTGTTAGCGATGTCTTCGTTTCCATTTAGATAAACGGATATCTCTGCATAATCCCCTCCTATAAGCCATCTGAAAAAACTTTCCTTTCCAAACTTTTTAACCAATTTAAAAAGCAAACTTATATCACTTTTGGAACAAAAGAGGACAATAACTTGTGCGTTTATCTTTTGGCTTATGTCCATGACTACTTCATCAAATGTTGACACTGTATCACCTTGAGGAAGTGCCATTTTTATACCAATACAGATGCCTCGCTCTTTAGCCGCCTGCGTGAAGTATTTTTTCGCCTCTCTGCCAAACTCATCGTCAGAATACAGAACAGACACATACTTCGTTTCATTTTTCAACAATACATCCACCAACGCTTGAGCACGCACAGCGTCAGACGGAACTGTTCTGATAAAGTACTTGAAGCGGGCCTTGTCGCTGAGCAGTGGACTGGTTGCGCCATAGCTCACATGCGGCACTTTAAAAAGTCCAAGAAGATTGGATACCTGAAGCGCGATACTGCTGGAATAGGGTCCTACTACACCCACCACAGGTGGTGAAGGTTTTTTCCAGCACGACGGAATAAAATTAGAAGCCTTCTCTAATGCTATCACATCTTTTGAGCAATAATCGAAGATTTCAAATCCTAAAGAAATCCCTTGCAATATACTTGAATTTCTGTTTGTCTCATCAATGGCGTACATCATGGCTTCGGCAAAATAAGCAGCGTCGAGGGAACGAAGATCGCCGCACCGGCCTTGACAACAATTCGAGCAATGAGAATGGACGGGAAACAAGCCGCCCAGGATAAGATCTCCCGCTTTGAACGCTCTGCCCGTGTGGTTCATTTTGCAACCAGCCGAACACAAAATTAAGTTCAAAATGATTACGATTCGAAACGAATTCGTTCGGTTAATCATGGTAATTAACAAAACCTTCGAGATATTATTCTCCTTCATAGTTCTGCGTATACATGGCAAGACTGTTTCCTTTTGGAATGAAACAAGTCCACGACTAGATCGCCGCACTAGCAAGGGTTAAAAAGTTTGTTTAAAGAGCTTTGTCGTTAAGATCTCTTGAAGTAATTGCAAGAATGAGGGAAAACACTTAGAAGGAAATATTTAAGTCTTTTGGCGCCTAAGCATCCGGACAAAAGAATATGGAGCTGTTGTGGCATATTTACATCGGCCACTTTGATCACAAATGTATGATACGCTCCCTCAATTAACTGCTATGACATGTAAGCGAATTACATATGATACTAAAGACAAAATAGAAGTTTCGCTTTTCGTAGAGCCTTAAAAAAAAAAACATTTATTGTCGGGGATGATACCTGCCTTTCAAAATTTCAATCCTTGCTCCTGAAATTATACTATAATTTGTAAATGCAACTGTAACCCGATTCACCTATTTTAGTATTGGAATTAGATACATAACAATTTAACCCATTTCAAGTCAAATAAAGCTTATCCTTTCAAATGTCGTTTTTGCTCCTTAAAACTAAAAATGAATTTGTGGTACACCTGCCTGAATTCGAACGTAATTAAAACCAAAATCTCGCGATTGGACAAACTGTAGTCAACACTAAAGGAACATGATTAAATTGCCTGCTAAAAATGATCTACGTCCTTGAATTTAAAGTAAACATTAAGAAAAGATACAGGAATAGCTTACAGCAACTCGCTTTTTTTCACTTAACCAACATCCTTTCATACATTTGGAGTAGTATTCAAGTACTATTATTGTACAAGCCGCGACTGACGACATAACGAAAGGCCATAAATTAGCATACTCCAAGAAATTGTTCGAAATTGCTCCAGTAATTTGCTTAGTCACCGCATATTTAAGTAGAAAGAGAGAAAATCATTGTAGTCTCTAAGCCTGAATGGGGTGAAGGTATTATTTGAATCGATGTGAAGCCAGTAATTACGTTGCCATGCGCCGGATTACATTTGGAATAAAAGTGTAGCTGATCTTGGCAATATTACTGCTGAGAGCAATTATCAAATATCGGAAATACGTCCAAGTTCAACTATCCCGTAGAAGAGTCATGTTGGAGATCGATGTTATCGCTGGTGATATCTCTGAATCGATGTTACTCGTATTCAAGTGACAAAAAAGTTATGTAACATCAGTTTGACCGGCTTTCATTTGTTTTGAACAGATTAAGAGAAACACAAAATTAAACAGAAAAAAAAGTTAACAGACGCTTAGGAAATTTGGAAACAGATTACGATTATGGTTGAATTATATAATTTAATAAGCTTAAATTCCTAAGAATTTATATCAACACTCTGGTATAAAATGAGTGTGAAGAATAATGCCAGTTGAACCGCTGCAGAATGGTAATTTTTTTTTTGAGTAACTTGAAATAGCATTTTCTGGTTTGGTAAAGGGGATTCTTCACCTTACAGCAGCAATATACTCATTTTTTCAACAATGTGGGAAAGCGAATGGAAATTCTGATCTAAAAAATTACGTTATTAATCAAATATTTATTACTAAAGGCGATTACGGGCTTTAGTGGACAGATATCCTGAACAGATTTCCTTATTGAAAAGACTCCTCTGATGAAAAATCTCAATCTTCTCGCCTTCGCCAACACACCAATCTTTATCACAAGCGACCAACGTTTACTGAAAGAGGGATATTTTCCGACAGTGTAATGCATTATCCAAAACAAAAAGCGATGTGTGACATGTGCTAGTAAACAATTACATAACAAAAGTTGTCTGAACCATGTGTAGGTGTTGTGCTACAACGGTTTTGTTTTTACAAGAATAATGGATTCGTAGTTTTTTGTCAGTCTGAAATTCTCTTTTCCTGTGCTTTATCTATGTAATTGTCATTGATTTTTTAACTTATATTTCGATAGGGTGGAGTAGGAGCCTCCTTCTGCGCACAATTATTTCCCCTTAAGCATATCTAATCAGCTATCATTTTCCAAAAGCATGTGATCTTATTAAGGAGCGCTCTAATACCTCTGATCGAAGGTAAAATTCATCCAAAACACGTCAGTTGTCCACAGTCGAAGAAATTCTCTCGAAAGATCTGAGCGGCCGCAAAGAACCCTGTCGTCATTTTTGTTACACTTTCTTTTTCTTTTGGCGTGCGCACTACAACACCTGGTAAATATTTAGAGTCAATTGGAAATCAAAGGAAAACAATCTTCCTTAAAGACGAATTTCTCAATGAAACGAGAAGGTACAGCCTGGTGTAATAATCTCTGTACAGGTGGAGATCATTAGCATCAATCCTTTGATAAATTTTCTGTTTTAAACAACTCTATCCACTCGACGCTTAGTATCGAAAAGTCAGATGTGTGAAAAAAAATTTCTTCTACGGTCAACAACACTCGATAACAATTTTCTTTGCAAAGGCGTCAAAGTGTATACAGTCGAACCTGTAATATGCGGTCACCTTGTACTAAGCGGTCAGATGTCAAAGTTCCGAATTCGTTTCCCTCTTATCACTGCAATTTTTACCTCTGTTAAGCAGTTATCCTTTACTAAGTCCCAATGACCTGCTTTAATGTCCTCCACCTGTATTGAACGGTCAATGAGAGTAGGACCACTAAAAATGAAAAAAAACAAATGGAGACTGCGTCATGGAATGGACAATCAGTTTCTCATGAGCAGAAATCCTAGTTTTATGGAACTTTAATTTTTTCTCTGGGATGTATCGAGAAGTTGGTTGCGCAAAGGAAACTAAAAAACGAAGCACACGTGACCAGTGAAGAGGGAAGAAAACAGACAATTAATGCATTTACAGCACATCCTTTCTTTTTTCCGTTTTTATTTCTTTCAACGCTAGGTATTTATTCTAGAATAGTATTAGATAAAAAATGTCACATCATCAAATGAGTAGTTTTTGTCTTGCCGATCACGTATGCGCCACGCCAATCAAATTCTAGAATGGCTTCATTTGAAAAGATTTCTTACTCCTTTAGGACGATTTAAAACAAATGTTGCGAACGAATTGTTATTAAAAAACAGTACATCTTCTTGCGATCTGTATCATTGATGTCCAGGAAACTCGTGGACGCACTCTTTCCTGAAGCTTTATCAATGGCTCGTGCTTTAGGTGGAGTCAATCAGTTTTACACTGCAGTGGAGTGCTTTGAATGTTGCCTCTTTATCATTTTGCTCTAAAAGGAACAAGATAGAAAATCCTTAACCATCCCTGCTTATTCATTTCAAATTTCACGTGAAATGATCTGATTACTTGCTAGTGAAATCTATTTAATTTCCACTTTATTCTTTCATATCAATTTTTTCCCCTCAATTTCAATTTTCCGTACTATTTGGATTGACTTTTCCTTTTTGACAGCAGTTGCAAATAATATGCCCGGTCACTTGTTCACTTAAATTGAAGGAGGAAAATGAAATGTTTGATCTCAATTTTCAAACCTTACGCTGGATCAAAATCTCAGATTTGGAAATTTTGCAAAAATGCGTTCCTGTATGAAAAAGAATCCTGTAAGTTGTGCCGCTGAAAAAAATATCCCCTCACTGCATTAAAAAATTTCAGGAAAGTAGGCTGTTATTAACGGCAAGCCATTTGTTCAAGTTTGTAGTCAAGTCTGGGCTTTTGGTCGGTGACGTTATTATCTTCTGATGCATGATTTTTTAAGATTCAGTGAAACGTCTTTGAAAAGAAGAATATGCCATAACGTAATGAGTACATATCCACTTCCTTCCTTTTCAATGTTCTGCTGCCTGAAAGTTTTTGCAAACATCTTGCCAAGCAGAAATTTTGGTATCTCCCCATCCCTCAGCTCTCGGTGAAATTTTTCATGCCTCATGGCATGAAAAATGACAATCTATGTACGTTATTCATGGATAGTGTCCCACCTTTTTTACTGATACTGTCTTCCTATCTTCCATTAAATGCTTGTTTGGCACAGAACTCTTTGAAAAAGCGTCTTTATGTGTTTTGGAGGGTTTTCTATGCTTAGTTCTGGTCTCCTCTTTCTGGTGCGTCTTGGAGCGCTGAAAATGAAATTACCATTAGCGTCGAACCAAACTGAGCTGAATTCAGTCATTCTTCATAAAGTGTCGCTGCCTCGTTGTACAACAGTGCTAATTTCAGATCGACAAAAACGTTAGCCATGGATCACATGCATTTTTTTTAATGGCTACCGGTCTTAAAGTTAAGCAGGAAAAAATGCTTGAAGGTGAAATTGGTTGAGAGTACATATATCGATAGAGGAATTGAATTGTGATGAGGATGATGGTGTCCGCCCAACAGAGGCCAAAGATATCAACTGTTTGATCCTTCAGCAAAAAGGCAGTCAATTTCAAGGCTTTAATGTATGTCACTGTCAGTAAAGTTAAGTTGTTACCTGGAAGTCACGTGGTCTTGCTATTGTTGACTGTTAGGGATAAAAGTAAGTCGTCAGTAGTATTCTGCTGCAGTTATTGTTATTATGTAGTTAGAAAAGTTGAAAACGTCTCTCTTCATTCCAGTGAAGTTTGTTCAAAGAAGTTCATTGTGTATATGCCATTACAGCTTGCAGGGCACTGACTGCGACGCACTTACGTGGGAATGGAAGATAAACAGAATTGTGATGTAATGGTATCGTAACGTTTACTGGCGCAATATTACAAAGGTTTACGTACATGTCTGTGTACAAACCCTTTATGACTTAAGTTAACTGTATCTATGATCAAACCACGCCTCTGATGTACGGACACCCCTCATCTTATGTACTGAGATGCAAAATTCCTTTTTTAAACTAAGCGAATTAAAAAGATATGTCGTTTTGTAATTATTTGATTTACTAGGAACATTCTAACCTTCCCCACAAATCAATCATGCACATGACTATCGTTCTTTGTGTCTCTGGATTCAAGGTTTGCTCTTCCTTGCTTAATGTATGTGTACTTCTGGCCCGTATTTTGCCAACCACGCCTGAGAAAAGGGTCAAGCAGCAGTGACAACATAAGCCACGTAAGACTGACGATTTTCATTTTGATTTTAAAATTTCTATCGTCTTTCTGCCACAAACCTTTTTAAATGACATCTGCTGTTGCGCAAATTGTCCTCCACCGCCCATGGCCGACAGACCTGCCAATCCACCGCCCATCATACCTTGTAGGCCTCCTTGAAGACTTCCTCCCATTAGTCCTTGTCCTTGTAAGCTGTTAACACCTCCTCCATCAGATAGCATTCCACCTTGCACTTGCTGACCTCCTGCAAAAGCAGATGTCAAGCTCTGCATCCCTTGAACATCCTGAGCTCCCTGAATTCCTTGCAAGGATCCTCCTCCTGCTCCTCCTTCGTTCATGCGGCTCACCGCAGAGTCGCTCAATCCTGCCAGACCTCCTTGACCCAAACCTTCCTGATTCACAGCACCTTGCTCCAAGGTACCTCCATATCCTGCTCTTTCGGATGCTATGGAAGGTTGCTCCATTGGTGATACCTGACTTTGTGCTCCCAGTTGCTGCCCCCCTTCCATTCCTCCAAAGTTTGCGATACCTTCACTTAAACCCTGGCTTCCACGCGCTCCTAAGCCACCGATTACCATGTTGTTTTGTTGAGATGATCCTCTCATTTCGCCCGGCAATATTTTGTCGGCTTGGTGAACGAGGCTTGAGATCTCTGTGCGAAAATTATCGGTTAAGCGAAACGCCTTACGTCAACACTATAAGTTTTATTTTGTTTTTGTTTTTTAATTCAAGTGTCTATCTTGAATGTGTGAGAGGGACTTTGGAACTTTTAAAATGACGATTAGAAGCGATAGCCGTAAGTAAGTAGAAAGTATGACATTTTTTTCTTAATATTTTCGAACTGCAAAAGACTCGATAGATAAAAGGGGATCTACGAGGTATTGGGACCAACCTGGCTGACCAAGAGATGATTGATCGGATAGATAAGGTGACGAATATTCCTGAAATTCCTCTGCGTGGTCACGGTTTTTATGTGTCCGTCATCATGCAGGCATGCAAAAGGAGAGACACGTTCAACGAGATGTTTTGTTAGAATGTCTAGAATATGTGGCAAAACTAGTTTTATCTATCAATTACCAAATTTAGGTAGTTCTCTAGTTGGTTAACTGTGTTAGGTGGCTTAGTTGTAGGCTAGATGTGTACAAGCATTTGAAGAACGTAAATACTGGCTTATGCTAACTGTATGGAATTAACAGCGATTTATAATTGTGTAAGGACCACTTGTAAGTGTGAATACTTTAAGAGGGGCTTAGTCAGTTCAGATTACGGAAATATTGAGGGAATCTTACAGTCAGAGCATGTTTCGGCGGTGAAAAACAAGATGATTCATATATTAGCGCATTAACCTTGGTTCTCAGAAGGAGTGATTCCTTTTTGCTGAGCTCCTACAAAGGCCATTGGTTGCCCTCTTCCCCCTTCTGGATTTGATATTCTTGGCTGCATACCTTCTTGATCTTGAACCTATTTTAATAAGCATATACTTTAAACAGTTACCATTTTACTTTGATAGGTATATTTTATCAGGAACGAAGTTGTCATGTTAAGTTATAATGATAAATGTGGACCGGAACACATCAAGCTCTTCTGAATAAGTGATTTAGTACACGAAACTCGAAAACAAATTATCTTCTACATCAGGATTTCATGGAAACATGAGTGAAAGTCACTGTAAGGACAAGGCACAGCGGGTTGATAAATATTTTTATTCATTTAGATTACTGAAATTCATTGATTACCGGGTACCCAGATTACGTTCCGAGGTTGTTGCATGTACTTTTGCCGACTTGTGAGCTATTTTTACTCTTCTAAGTGTAGTTGGATAATAACAACACAAACCATGACCTGTTTCTTCGCGTTTTGTGCAGTTTTACTTGCTTTGGTCAAAAAACATCACTAAAAACGTCTCTCTTAAGCGCGACAAAATAGCCCTCATTAAATAGTGGAAGGCAGAAACTGAAGGAGTGTTACATACCCCGCCTGCTCCCCCTACTACGGAAGCACCTCCGTTGCCAATTGATGCAGAACCCCGTGAAGATTGAGACTCAGCCGCGATGGCGCGTTGGATTTCATCCAACTCATGTGCACTTTCAGAGGCAACTTGAGCTTGAATGCTTTGTTTCTATGTATATGCAAGGAAAATAAGTGTAAGCATCATTTCACTATCAACTGGCTAATTACAACATGGATATCACATTTTGCATGGATGATCAAAGTTTGTTAAGTTTTTACCGTGTTTTGTTATGAGGGCCAACGACTGCAATTTTTGTAATACCCAGTCCATACTCAACCTTCTACAGTATGAATTGTTTGTTGTTGAAATCGAGCAGCGGAAAATAACTACAACTGTGCTTTTCTGAGAGTCAGCAAGTCCGCGTAAATAAATAATAAACAAATAAGGCATTTAGCATTTACCTCAGCAGCGTCCTGTCTTTGGATGTTCGAAGCCCAGTTGGCACCTTTTCCTCCATCTTCCCAACCACCACCTGCACCTCCTCCTCCTCCTCCTCCTCCTCCGGTGCCGTATCCTTCTCCAGTCTCGTATTTCTTTTCCTCTTCAGCTTCCATAGCCAAGCGATCCTCCAGCCTAGTATCTTCTTTGTACTCATTATTATTTCCTCCAAGGTCTCCCAGTTCACCCAGTCCTAACATCTTTCCCATTCCACCTGGCTTTCGGTTTACCTTGTGTTCCTTTACTCGCTTTATGTGGGGTCCTTCGTCCAAGTCACTTACTAAAAAAATGGTGATAATTTTACATAATTACCACTGTGTTTATCAAAGCTTTATTGAAAATGACCTTAAGAAACTTAGGTGCTGATCGAATACTGCGGCCATGACACATTTTGGTGCAAAGTTTCAAAGGGTCCCACCAACCATCGTGGATTCAACTGGAACAGAGAATCTGGCCATTTCATTTTTACCATGGTTGAACTTTACTGGGAGAATCCCTGTATTTTACCTGAAGTCTCATGTTTTCTGGCAACTGCTGGCTTCTCGTCTGGATTGAGATCATTACTTCCCTCACTCGTTTCAGAGCTTTTGATGCTCTCAACTCTTGTCTCAGCTTTATGTCCATGCTTTACAGCATCTTGTGCAGCTAAACTTGCGTCTAACTCAGCCTTTTGCACTGCTTCTTTTACTAAGACAAAAACAAATTGACTCACTTAAACAGAAACATTTTTCATTCAAAGAGAAGCTGCGCTCTTGCATGCTGTCCGAAGTCTGTACTGAGTAAAGAAACCACAGCACCGTTACCATCTTATTGCAAGTTGATACAAAACGCTCATTATGAAAAGTAGCGTCGAGTTTCAGTTCTACAAACGTGGGAAGACACTGTTCACTTCTTTATTATGAATAGTCCGAAAAAAACTCGGAGTTTGTCGGCCAATGCAAGTGATATGCTGTTATCATTATCTATCACAATAAAGGCTTTATTTTTATGCGAAGAGTTAGGGTTCGTTTAACCCTTGATCACAACCTTAACCACACTATTCAATACGCTGAGAGACAGATACACATTTCCCCAGAACTTTTGGTTGTTTTCGAGGCACATGCATTTGAAGATCACATGCATGGTTTGAAATTACACTCACCTTTATCTTCAAGATTAACCGACTTTGGAGTCGCTGGATGCGCTAAGAATGAATCAAATAAAGAAATTTGCACGCTTGTTTGGTCCAAAAAACACTTTTTGCGGTTTGTTCGACCTTGCACCACAGATAAATTTGTGCATTTTTACAGATTAGTTTCCTCTTTACCTTGTGATTCTTGAGAGCGTCAGACTCAGAGTATAATTCCCACTTATCCTAGCTATCTTTTTGCTTATTACATTAAAGAAAAAGGAAACGATTCCCAAAGCTTACCTTCTTCTCGGCCAGACTTTTCAGCGGATGACTCCAACGGTACCGAAGATACTGTAACAAAAACGATGAAAATTAACAATACAAGAACTATGTGGTTACCCAGAAACGAACCATAATCGTCCGTAAGGGAAAAAGAAAATCACATGTGAAGCAAGCCAGCAAGCAGACAAATAGCTAAACATACGCCAAGTATATGGACAGCACAAAGCTACTTAGTAAAAAAAAAAAAAACCAAACAGACAGCAACTTATAAACAATAGAACAAAACCTCTTGTCAATGATTGTTCCTATTATATCCTGCCTTGCTGTGATTGTTATCTAGTAGAAATATACTAAGTGCGATAAGAAATCCATTACAAATGCCCTCTAAAGAAATTTGTCAGCGACCAGATAGAGATGGCCTCTTCTTAAGAATGGAATGCGGGCAAATGAATAAAAGCCAGAATAGAGTACCCATTTCTTATCTTTTCACTTACACTTTATTATCATTTTCAGATTAATAAATTAGTTGCCACTTTAGATACTGTCTACACAAGCAATCGTTTAGACAATCCATTTTTTCAGTACAGCATCTGCAATATCTTTCCACATTTCAGTCGTAACTTCTTAAGCACTTCACGTCTTTTCAAGTGCACTGCAATTCAGTTAGGTCTAAATTCGACAACGAAATCATTTGGCGGATGTTTATTTGGTCTTGGAGTCGACCAAATGACACCAACTTGGAAAGATACCTTGAAGTTTGTGAGAAAGTTTTCTTATATCAATAAAAAGAATGGTAAACTTTAAGCAATAGCTCCTTTTGAAATGGTTTGATGTCGACAGCAAATCGAAAATGACAGGTCAAGTCAACTGGAATATATAGGATAAGGAAACTGAGATACGACCAACAAAATATAATTATCAAGATTTTGACTTTAAAACAGAACTGATAATTACGATACAAAGATGTGACAAAAAATTTCCATCTGAAAGAACTGGGTCACAATCGAAGTAAGTACATCAGTTTTTTGTTACTTGTGGCGAGGCTGGTGGAGAGAGGTAAAGATGGTAAACTTCTCAAAGCTTGTTAACACCATCGTATATCCAGGCTGATTGATATTTGTAACATAAAACTTACCTGCGTGCGACAAACACAATGTCAGGCACGTTAGAAGAAGTCTCCTGTTCATTCCACGGCCTTTCCTTTTTCGTTATTGTTTATTTATCGCAAATTTGTACCTGCCAAGAAAATGATATTTTATTCTATCACCAAAAGTTATGTCTGCTCCAGTTAACAAAGCCTGTTTGTTAAAACATTTGTATCGAAGAACGGTGAAGCTATTTTCTTACAACAAAGGTTATAAGATTTAATCGTTTTTATCATCAAGTTTCTACCATATTTTCAACTTTTGCTTCAAATCCTCTTAGCAAAGCAGGTCTTTTCTAATTCGCTTGTAATTATTATTGTTTTTATAATAAAAGCTGTTTCATTCGCTAACTGAAATATTTTTGCCTAGCATCTATAAATAAAAGTTGAGTACAGTTAAAAAATTCAATCACACCCGAACTTACCGTTCAAAAAACAAAAATCCAGATCAGAGAGAAATTGAAAATGTTTCCGATTTGGTCATTTCCAATAAATGACGTCATTAGATTCAAGAAGAGGTTCTAAAGTCAAGCAAGATTAAATATTTACCACTAAGCTTTGCAGTCCATCGAGTTCACCAATATTAAGTCTGCACATGGGGAAAGCATCCATTCAATATTTTGCCAAACCGAGGTTAACAAGAAGAAATGAAGGCGACGATTGCAAAAATCTTCCTTTTGAAAGATTATTCTGGGATTGCCATGTTGTGGGAGGGTTTCGACTGTGCCTAGTGTTTCGTGATTATTCACCTGCTGACTCTGAACATGAAACTTAAAACCGTTCTTACTGATAAAATGAGAAATCACTTCGCTCTGGTAACGCTTCAATAATACTGACATAACAGTCCCTTAGCAGGCGGATCGATTAAAATCGATTGACAGGTATAATAATTTGACTAGGTGATAAAAACAAACACGAACACAACTTGTTTATGCGCATTTTGTAGAGAAATGTTATCATGCGTGTGCTTGACATTTGACCGTTGAGCATCTACACCAGATGCATGCGTAATTACTTAAATTTCCCTGTGCTGTTTGCATTTTTATAATCTGTAGTTGGATTGCAGCTACTACTTAAACTTTTTTTTTTGTTTTCAGCTCTTTATAGGAGCACTCTTATGAAACTTCCCTATAATTTGAAAACCCGAAAAATTCAGTTATTTCATTATAATATGAATTTTTAGCGATTAATAAAGCCTTTTCAATAATGATTTTAGTGGAAAGTCAATTCTATGGCGAGAAATTACGATTTGAAAACCGTCCCACCATTAATTTTCGAACTCACGGCCAACTCATCTTCGGTCAGCGGTCACTCCCATTGTCACGTAGATAACTCAAAACACTCTTGGCGTCATTTTATATTTATAGGGAAACCTCGTGAAATTTAGTGAAATAGTTTTAGTCATAGTGTTATAAAAGCAATATATACGATCAAAATACTGTTTTGAATATTTGAATATTTGAATATTTGCGCTGCAAATGAGTCATCTACGTCACGCTCAAAACTCGCCCCAATCTTCTTGATTCTGGCAATTTATTACGTAAACTAATGGTGGGTCAAAAGAAAATCGTAAATTTGACGATCTTCCCGTGTGACAATTCGGAAAAAATATTCAGAGACGATTAACTAGTGAACATTTCAAGTTTTTACGCAAAAATCGGATTTTTTGAGTTTCCAAATTACAGGAAGGTTTCTTAAGAGTGCTTCTTTAAACCGAGTACCTACCGAGCAGTTCACGTATGACCGCGCGTTCACGGAGGAAATGGCACTGGCTGTATTTATAGGACACACATTGTCAATAGCTTGTTTTCCCACGACGAGGCTGCAAAAGTGATCAATTCTGGAATAATCCCGTGCTGAAATTTGTTATTTCTCTAACTTATTGTGCAGAGGAGACATCCTGAACACGAGAGGAGAAACTTTAAACTTTAATGATAAATACTCCCAAAAAAGGTTTTTCAGTAACTATTTACAAATACGAATGCTAACTATATCTGACAAGCTATTGTTAAATTCTAAATTCTAACTGTCACTCGATCATTCATTCATGGCAAGTTTAAGGACTTTCTTGAAGGCATTTACAGATGTAACGTTTCTCAGGTCTTCGTCTAACATGTTCCACAGAGATACTGCTCTATTGGCAAAGGACCTTTGGCCGGTAGCTGATCTGAATAATGGAATGTCAATCTTCTCATTATTACGAGTTATGCAATTATGTACAGAAGATAGTTTTTTAAACTTAGCACATAGATATTCAGGAGCTAAATTGTTGACACACTTATAAGCTATAACAGCGTCTCTGAATTTGAGTATTTTGTCAACTGGAAGCCAGTTGAGTTCATCCAGTAATGGCGTTACATGGTCAAATTTCCGAGCGCCGCAGATGATTTTGCAGGCGAAATTCTGGATGAGTTGCAGCTTTTGTATGTTCTTAGATGAGGTATTAGATCACACGGACGAACAGTAGAACATTTTGCTAAAGACAGGAGATGTAATAATTAAATCTAAAGTCTCTCTATCAAAACAGTATTTCACGCGGTTGATCTGAACCAGTTTAGTCAAGCAAGAAGAGACTAGGTGGGAGATATGAGTGTCATAGGTCAGATATGAATCTATATATACTCTTAGATCTCTTGCCGAATTCGACGGCCGTGAGAGTCCTTACAATAAATGAAACAGTAAAATTAACTGAATGTTTACTTATCATTTGCTTAGTGCCAATCAACATGAACTGCGTTTTCCCAGGGTTTATTAACAAATCATTTGCGCAACACCAGTTGGCAACATTACGCAAATCATCTTCGAGCTTGAACTTAGCGTCAATGACGTCGGCTACGGGAAAAGATAGCAAAACTTTAGAGTCATCGACGTATCACTCGAGCTGGCAGAATTGAGTAGCGTTTGGCAGATCATTTAAATAAATACAGAAGAGGAGCGGCGAAAGAATCGCTCTCTGGGGGACTCCGTGTGTGATTGGTAATGGATCTGATAACACAGAATCTATACGCACTGATTGGATCCGATCTGAAAGGTAGCTACGGAACCACTGAACTACGGCGGGTGAGGCACCTACAGCGGAGAGCTTCTGGAGTAACTTATGATGGAAAATACTGTCGAAAGCTTTTGAGAGGTTGAGTAAGACTAATGCGCTGATTTCCTCTAAAATTAAATCGGTAGTATAATTATTCAAGGTCTCAGTTGAATGGAATGACTTATTGCCGCTTTGATGGAATGACAAACGGTTACGTGACGTTAGGTAGGTGATAAATTGTTCTAGAACGATTTTCTCACAAATTTTAGACATAACATTAAGTAGTGACAATGGCCAATTGTTCAGAGGTTCTTCGTGATCTCCCTCTTTTAGGAGTGGGATGACCTCAGCGATCTTCCAGTCTGATGGAAAAGTGGAGGTACCGAGTGAGCAGTTCATTATCTCAGTAATAGGCCCGAGTATTACTTGTAGGGCGTCTTTGAAAACTCTAACTTTGGTTTTGTCGGGTCCTGGTGCTCTGTTTAATGGTAAGGGCAAGATGACACGCCTCACATTTTCGATGCTCACGGGATTGAACTCGAAGCAATCATCGGAAGAGGATATAAGGTCTGGTGTAAATGAGTTTGAAGGGATGATATTATTTCCTAATGCCAGCTTTGCAACAGCTTCAGCCGTGCGACTTCCTACGGATGAAAAATATGAATTAAACTCACTTGCTACGGTCTTGAGGTCTTTAGAATAGACAAGTTTCTCTTGTGTTTTCGATGGAATGATGTTGTTGATCACTTTCCAAAGGGATCTCGAATTATTTATATTGTTTTGGACTTCTTGATATGTATGATGTTTTTCAGCTTCAAAGGGAGTTTTTTTCACAATATTGCGGGAGGTTTCGTATTCTGCCCAGTCGAATTCATTGCGCGTTAAGAGAAAGCGACGATGAAGACGGTTTCTTATTTTCATAAGATCCTTGATCTCTTCGGTGACAAATGGGCATGGGCAGCTGCGAATCTTGACTGTCTTTACCGGAGCGTGTGCATCAAGTACTTGGCGAAAAGCGTTATTAAAAATGTCTAACTTGCTGTTTACACCAGGTGCAGCAAACACTGAAAGTAAGGAGTCAGAATGAGACGCAAGTCGAAGGTGAAATTTTCGGTATCATAGTTCTTATAGCTGCGCACTGTTATATAATGAGGAAAGATCTTGGGAGATTTCAGTTTCAACACAACGTAAACTGGAAGGTGGTCACTAATTGGAAAATTAATGACACCACTCTTACGAACATAAGAGGGGTCTGAGACTAAGATGACATCTAGTAGTGACTCGGTGGTGGTCGTAATCCTGGTCGGTTCCTTTATTCACTGTTGTAGGTTCATTTCACGTGTGAAACTATTGATAGCTGCATACTGCATACAAAGCGCTGCTTTGTAAGTTTGACAGTTCATAATTGCCCCTTTCCAAACATAGGGAAGTTCATGGGACATATACCACGCCATCGTATCACAATCCTCTGGAATGCATCTTTAAAATGGTCCTGTTTGTTATCAATATATACACCTCATTCAGTATTTTAACATAATACGCGCGGACATTTTGCGAGTTGCGTTCTTTTGCAAGCCCCGTACAGTACGTGAGGGCAAGGAAAAATTCCGGCAACGAGAATAATGTCCGCTCGCATTATCTGTTAAACTATAGAACAAGAGATTCATTTTGTTTTCTAGTATTTGGTCTCTAGTTTTGGAAATACTTTCTACAGTGTAATCTGAGCATTGTACCGATCGCGTAAGACGTATGCGGTCGATGAAAACATAACAAACCAAAAAGTTAAAGTGGTTATTGTGACCAACAAATTTGATGGGCTCAACTGTTCGTTGCTGAGAAAGCTATGGCTGGAAAAAGGAAGTCTGGGTCGTTCAGTGCGTCCATTTCTTTGCTCCACTTTCCATCCGTATTCGTACCCCGTTCTACATTGTCACACCTTGGCATATTTTGCGCGTTCCGTTTCTCTAATGTGGTAAAATGGAGTAGTAGTGGAATAACAAAAGTTGATAACTCAGGCTATTCAAGTAAGAATATTCAGAGACTCAGCAAGGTTACATAGAAAACTCGTGGACTTCAGCAATAAGGAAACGGTGGCGGAAATTCGCAAGTTAAGGTAAAGTAAAACTTTCTTCAGACAGAGTAGCATATTCAGTTCAAAGGCTTGGGCCATGTATCCAAAGAAAATTATGATTACAATTTGTTAAAACTGAAATTACGTCCAAAATTTAATTCTAATCAAGTAATTAGAAAAAGTCTCTAAAAATTAAAGCCGCATGAAAAACTGTTTTGCTCATTAAAACTTTTCCCGCGGTACAAAAGAAAAGTATTTTCCCCAAAATTTGCATCTGCCTTCAGTGACCAGAACCTAGTGTTCTGCCTTGCATAGAGTAGTTATGAATGTTGTAAAGTCTATGTATGAATATGCGATGAGAACTAGGCTGGGGCTAAAAGTTTAGACAAAAAAAGTGAATTTGGCCTTATCATAAGAGTTGGCCTTATCGTAAGAGTACGTTTTAGCAAAACACGAGTGTAAAAGAGACCTTGCATCTGAGGAGCGCGTACAGCGCATAAGTACTACGCGCTACTTTAAGAATGGTGGTTTGCATCGCTCAAAAATTTATGCTCAATCAAGTTTAGAGCGTCATTTCATGGACCTGATAACCCTCTACCATTACATCATGCTTATCTTAACAGGCAATGAGTTTCATTAGGGATCATCAAGTCATATTATTCTGGGACCAAAGTATCGAATTTCACGAAATATATTGTGCATTCTAAAATATGGTTGAAGATTCCGAAAGATGATGACCAATATATTCTGAATTATTCCCCAGAATTATATAACACATTTAAGTTTTTCAAATCGATGGTGGCTCGAAAGAAAAGCCTCATTTGAAATTGGCAAGTCGAACTTTCACCGAGGTTGTTTCTTGGTAATGGGTAGTAGAGCATAACAATTTTATGTTTCCATGACAATACATGATCCCAGATGCCAGAAGAAAATGCTCGTTCCAGCCCCTACAAATGCGCGGTAATGAAAGTCAGGAGGAATCGTACTAAATTCAAACACTGCACGGACATCTCTTCTATTGTGGTAATTTTTCCTTGTTGAAAGGAAATGAGTGCACTGAGTGCAAAAGCCAGTGGTGCATTCCTAAAAAACAATAAAGGAAAGAGGGCTATAAATTTTCTTTCGACTTTCGGTTGCGTTCGTTAAGTTCGTTAAGTTTTTGCTCCTTTCATGAAAGCAATACACATACTCAGTCCGAATCTTCTGACCCTCAGAGTACACTGCGATTTACACTTATAACAATTCTAACGGTAAAAAAGGGGGGATTTTACAATGCTCAAGTTTATTTCTGAAAACAGAAATGGGGAGGGAAAAGGTCGAGGTTTCGAGTGTCTATTAAGATGGTGACAGCAGGTTGGAGCAATTAAATCAGTCAATTGCTTCTTCCCTTTGAAGTGTAGAGTATTGTTTGTGAGGCTCCCAATATATACTCCATCTTCGTGTCGTGCAATCCAGTATTCAGCCATTCGGCTAGAACAGAAATCTCACAAACCCACAACCCGTAAACAGAGAAAAAAAAAATCAGCAAGTGGTTTGTGTTGGTGGCAAAACATTACGTCATAAAATCTGCGAGAACGAAACAACTGGTATGTCGCAAAATGTGAAACGGGGAGTGACAGTGCTTGCACGTTCGATTCTTTATTGAAAGCGACTACACTTTGTATCAGCGAATGGAAAATGTTCCGTGAGTTAAAGTTCTTCTTTAGTACCCTTTAGATTAGTTTCCTGTAGCAGGTGTCACAATGCAGTATCATATTTCTCCCCACTTACTACAATCCTCAGCTTTCAATTTGTCTAAAAGTAATTAACTCGTGGATCGTGAAGTCGAACATTCATCATTTTAAGATATTTGCAGTGTTAAAAGAAATTAGAACTCCTTGTAAAACACTTCCTTCAAGCGTCTATATCTCATCGCGTGAGAGTGTACTTTTTTATTTTGCCAGAGTAATACTGGCTGACGAGAAATTGAATTGCTTGCAGTCTAGGGTAGAGAATTCAGGTTGATGCCATGTTTTCAAGAAAATGAAGTGGGTGTTCTTCATAGCAGCTTTTGCTTGTCTGGAGTGGGCGGCCGCGGGTAAGATAAACTTCAACTCAGTCACAAAAACGGTTCACTGATCTTCTATGTCTAACAGTCACATTATTACTAATATTTTTCGGATGGTTAACCTTTACTGGTACTTAACTCAACCAGGTGGAACATGTGAAGTCGCCAACATGAACGGTCTTCTTTTTTCTTCTAACATAGCTTTCGTAACTTTTTCGTTCTCAAGCAAACAAGGCTTTTGAGTGTTACATCCGCTGTCTATTTTAAACTAGACTGCGAAGATCGCTTTCATACTCATTAGACTACTAAGACGAGATTGACCTGTTTGATTAATATCAGTCAAATAGCAATCAAAGCGAAGTAGTACTTGACTTCTTCAGTCTTGAATCACTTTTCCCAAAAGCTTGGAAAATGTCATTGTAGAAAAAAAATTATTTACTTCTTTCGGCTTGGAACTGATTCCAATCGATGTTACCAGTTTCGCCTTATGAACTGACGCGTGAAACAAACTCAGGTACCAATCAAAGTAAGGGGAATTCGTCGAAATGAGATTGTTTTATTACATCAATTGCGAATTCTTTAAAGGAACACTCTTATGAAACTTCCCCCATAATTTGAAAACCCGAAAAATTCAGTTATTTCATAAGAAATATGAATTTTTAGCGATTAATAAAGCCTTTCCAATAATAATTTTAGTTGAAAGTCAATTCTAGGCCGAGAAATTACGATTTGAAAACCGTAATTAATTTTCGAACTCACGGCCAACTTATCTTCGGTCAGCGGTCACTCCCATTGTGACGTAGATAACTCAAAACACTCTTGGCGTCATTTTATATTTATAGGGAAACCTCGTGAAATTTAGTGAAATAGTCTTAGTCTTGGTGTTATAAAAGCTATATACGATCAAAATACTATTTTGAATATGGAAGACCACTCTCTTGCGCGTCAAATGAGTCATCTACGTGACGCTCAAAACTCGCCCCAGTCTTCTCGAGTCTGGCAATGTTGGTAGGATACAATATTCCATATACGCTTTATTGCTCCTTACTTTTTCTTTTGGTTCATAACCTTTGTTTTGCTAGTCTAATAATTTTGAGAACAAATTTTTATACTAAGTGCTCTTCCTATTGTCCGAAATAAGAAAGTTCTCATGATCTTTAAATTAACTGAATTCTCTCTCCAACTTCCATAGAAAAGATACAAAAGCGTGAATTAAAAATTGACAGACGAAGCCCCTGGGAATATGGTATGTTGCTCTATTTTCGTAATACCTGGTTGAATAACAGCCTGCATGAGTGGCAACTGCTTTTTGAAGAAGTTGACAACGGTAACCATACGATTTTTAATCTCGCCTTTGAAAATTATTTGCAATATGTGAAATTGCTGTCCAAAGATTTCCACTAAGGATGCCGACATCTGCGTTCTCTCAGCTACCTAGCCAGGTACCTCTGACGCAACAAAATCTCTTTTCTCCATTTCTTGGTACCTGTTCCAACAAATAGTACTTACAATTAAAGTATTTTGTTGACTCAAATTATGGCTTTTTGTTACTTACGGTTGCAAATTGGAAAAGGTTACCTACATTGGCTCTGTTACCTTTTATAAACGTTACAATTTTACCAAAAGGCTCAGTTTGCCCATCTATCGGTTATCCATTTTTCGTTCATGGGAGCCTACAGTCCCTAACGTCTATATCTTTGATGAAGATTCCTTAGAGGTGGCCTATACCCGTTCAGCGAATAAGTTGTTCATGCACGGTCAGTTGTAGCTATTTAGGGTTGCCACAGTAACAAACAATTATCGCGTTTTCTTACAGCTTTGCTTAAATATCTTCTGGGAGACCCCAGGGGAAACCGTAAGTAGTTCTATATTTTGTCTGCTATGGCAGATATATCATGTTTTCTTTTATTCTCATTGTATTTGTGGATATCACTGAGTGAAATGAATTATGTTCCAGCAAACACAGCAAAAGCTTTGAAAGGGGAAAAGAGAACTACAAAATTGCACAAATTGTGCTCCGGAAAAATTCAACTTCGAGATGAATGGATCAAGGATAAGTCAGTTTACGATAAAATTATTTGCGGCATGTTCACAAGACAAGACGAGTACAAGAAGCACGAGGAGCATGTGGCGAGGATATTAATGGGAAAAACTAATGGAAAGACTTTGGACGAACAAAAAGATGAATTAATAAGAGCTGTCAATCAGATGGTAAATGCAGCTGGCCCCATTCCTATTATTAAGATAAACGGGAAATGAATGGGAAAGAGAATCGATGAAATCAGTTTAGGAAGTTAACAATTTCCTGTCGTGCAGGCAATGTTGAGAACAAACGATCCACTAAAGGGTTTTATAAAGCCCATAATTCTCCTGGATAAAGATCTTGCATATAATTGGGTTCACTCGAAAACCGAGTGTGTCCAAATAATTTCTCTAGCTGCAAGATACAAGTTATGGATGTTTTTTAAATAGCCCTCTTATGGTATGTGGATTGGTGGGGGACTTTTAATTTCTAATAAACGAAACGGTACCATTAGAACCCGAAGGCAAACTTTTGTTTTGTTTTTCTCTCCATACATGTTTTGACAAAATTTGCCCTTCAGACAGTCAGTGCCGGTTATCCAAATAGATGTCCTTAAAAAGACCTTAATGAACCTCAAAATTTCTTTCTGAGTGGGTCATTTGAAGAAAATTAATTTTTTTTTTTGCATTGTTAGCGGTGAGCGCTCTATAGGATCCTCACAAAAATCAATGGTTAAAACGCAGTTTCGTTGACAAGGGCTTTTAACCAGACCTACGGGTTTTTCGTGTAATACTAAAACAAATTTTATCTTCCGCTTAATTTCTCTATTAAATTTGATCTTTGACATAAATCGGGTGTGTGAAAGAAAACTGTTTCACGAAATTCGGCAAACGAAATGCGAACCGAAAATGCGAACCACAACAAGTTTAATTCCTCCCAAAAGTAACATTTTATTTCTGATAGAACATTGTCATAGCTCATAAAAAACTGCGGCTCATCGATGCTGCGCCAAATATGTGAAAAACTGATATATGTAATTATCGCCGGATTATGTCGGAATGCGCTAAAGTTATTGATAAACCACCTGTTCGTTTGTATATGATTGTGACTTTAGGAGGAACAAGAACAACGAGAAAAATCGATCTAACCTGCTGATCTTTTGCCACCGTTTCCTGCTGAAACAACTGAAACTCTGAAATTCGTAATTCCCTGCCCTAACATGAATACCCGGGTTTTGGATTTTTGAAGAAAGAGACTCTCTTTCCTCAAAAATCCAAAACCGTAAGATGTATGCTATATCTTACGCGAGTGATTTGTTTTACTTCGAAACACAACAAAGGAAATGTCCTCTCGTTCTCGAGTTTTATCTATTTCGTGAAACTTCAGTGCAAACGTTCTTCCAGCATTTTCAATGTAAAAATAACCATTTTTTATTGTTTTAATTGATTTGATTAAACTATCGCTATCGTTAGCTGCTCGGAAGGATATGACCACGATGTCAAAGTGGGGTTGAAATGCTGGTCCAACTCACAGTAAGTGTAATTTTTATTGGAATCGTAACTAGTGTAATGACGAGGATAATGGTTTCGCTCAAAAGTTGTTCTCGTAGATTCCCACCATCGAGTGCTGAATTAGAAAACAAAATGCTTGACATATCTTACGAATTTGGAACCCTTTAAATTATTTTTGTTCTATTGACGCCCATTTAGAACGGGCATTTTTTTAAACACATGCCCGAGATAACTATTGGAGGTAACTTTTTTCTTAATGAGATTTCTCCTTTACTTTTTTAGCGCTTTTCTTTGACTTATTTATTCTAGCTTTCTTGTGATGATTGTCCTTTCTTCCTAATTTACGTTGGAACCCTCTTCTAAATAGGCCGCCAGGTGCATCTCCCAGGGTTGTGATACCTGGGTTATTCATCCCAGTGAAGCCATTAATACCATCCATTCCACCGAATCCATTCATTCCATTGTCCAATCCTCCACCCATCATTCCACCACCCACTCCTTCCATGCCAGGCGTTTCTCCCATTCCAGTCATTCCTGCACCGCCATCCATGTTACCCACTGCGCCCATGTCGCCCATGCCTCCCGGCATGTCGTTCATGGGTCCCGCACCTCCCGGGCCTCCTGGCATGTCATTAAAAGTTCCCATGCCTCCTAACCCTTGCGGCATATCCTGCATTGGACCCATACCTCCCGGCATACCTTGCATTGGTCCCATACAACCTGGCATGTTTTGCATGCTCCCCATTTTGTTCATTCTTCCCATTCCTCCCATTCCACCCATAAAACCCATCCCTCCCATTCCACCCATTCCGTTCATAGCAGCCATGCGACCCATTCCTCCTCCTCCGCCACCTCCCATATTTGGCCTTCCTCCCGTTCCGTGCGCGTTTTTCCAAGCGGCGCTAAATTGATTTTGCATCTGCTTTTCAATACCCGCCATGGCCTGGTCCTGAATTTGTTTCATTGCAGAATTGTAAAACATCTCGGGAGTTGCTGGCTCTGTGCTCACACCTATGAGATTATAATGACACGAAATTACTCTTTAAAGTGGTTTATCACCACTCGTTTTACATCACAGTTACATAGGAACGCACCGTCAAGATGTGAACCTCTGCAGAAAAATGAAAAACACATAAATCCGAAACCAAGTACAGTAAATGTTTTCAGGCAGGCCTGATTGAATCAAATTACAACTGATAACAATTACGATTTTAAAGCGTGACTATCATCAATCGGCAAGTTCTGAGAGAAATAAGGAAATAATTTCTATCTCGATTTTTTATATGTTGGAAATAGAGTTTGTGTTTTGTCAGATGAGGTCTCATATCTCTTTAACGAGTCATTGTAAGCCGGTATTCGCATACATACGTTTTCCTATAGGCTTTCAATATTTTGGGCTCATTTAGACCCTTATCATGAGTCAGCTGCTGCTTATGTTAGACTTTTATTTCACTTGACCTGTTCTTACGTTATGCGCGTGTATTGCCAACAGAATGCAAAACATTTTGTGTGCAACTGAGGATGTTTGATGACCCCTCTTGCCCTGATGTTCGTTTTTCCACACCAATCATTGTATCTGAATGGATAACATCCCTTCTTAAAAGGGTGAATTTAATTGCAAGGGATATATATCTCAGATGATGTTAATTGAACAAAATAAAAGCACCGTTTTATTTATTAATAATATAACAATGAAAATTTATTCAAAAGAAATGCTGATAGTAGAAAACCTCATATTAGAGAAAATCAGGCTATAATTGTTGAACTTGCCCGGCTGTCGTTGGATGTGGAACTCCTTAAGAATGCGCATGCTCATCAGCAGTTAATGTCGTTTTATAATACGAAGAAAGAGTCTTCAATGTCCACATTAACTTATTAAGAGTGCGATCGCCATGTGGTCTCATGCATGATGTACAAGACTGTCAGTGCTTTCTTTCGTGCAGTTTACCTGATGTTTTTTCCCGCTTCTCGGTGATGTCCTTCTTTGATGCCAGGGTTGATTGATCTTTGGGTCCTTTGTGGAGTTTATGACTGTCATGCTTTTGCTTTTCTTTCTTGTCAGGTTTTTCAACCTTTGCTATTTTAGCTTTTCTATCATGAGGAGCATCGTATCCTTCGTCGATATCGCTCTCAGGACCTTCTTCCATTGGCTCTTCAAGAGCAGCATGTTCACGAGCGGGAACAAAATAAGGCTCGTCTTCGTCGATATCATCGTCGAATCCCTCGTCGTCAAAATCATCCTCGTTGTCGAAGTAACGATGTCTACGAAAAGGACGAAAATAAGGCATCCTTGGCCGGTCTTCGTATCCTAATGGTACTTTGTCCCGTCCAACTGCAGGTTCATCGATCATAGGCATAGGTCCCATTGGCCCCATGGGACCCATAGGTTCCCTGAGTTCTTCTCCAAATCCTCTCGCATAATAACCATTTACTCCATTAAAATAATCATCGTTTCCCCTTAGATTGTCTCTTTGAAATGCATCGCCGGCGTTTTCCATATCTCCCATATCTGCCATGCGGTTGCCGTACATTCCGGCCATTCCCATTTCTCCCAGTCCACCGAAGCCAGCCATTCCTCCCATTCCTCCACCCATACCTCCACCCATACCATCCATACCACCCATGCCTCCCATTCCACCCATTCCACCCATGCCGCCCATGCCTTGCATGCCGCCCATACTATCCATTCCATCGCTCATTCCTCCCATGCCTTGCATGCCTCCCATGCCACCCATACCACCCATTCCTCCCATAGCACCCATTCCTCCCATCCCACCCATTCCTCCCATCCCCGGCATTCCTTTTGCTGTCTGCATAGCTGCCTTGAATTGGTTCTGCATTTGTTCTTGTATGACTTGCATTGCTTGTTGTTGCATTTGTTTCACCATCGGGTTGTCAGGCTCCTCGCTGTCTTTGCCTACAAAAAAAGAAGCCGAATCAATTCGCGGTGCTTAAATAACGTTTCCTATACCAAACTGACGTCACTGCGAGATACAAACCATCTCCTTGACTTGGGGCTTCACTGGGCTCTACGGAAGTTAACAAAAATGATACCGTGTTATTTAGTGTTTACTACGTTTCAATGCCTACTACTGTTGTGGCATACACATACATCTCGTAATTAGATTGCAGAAAAGAAAAGTCGTACGTTTGTCAAACGTCCAAAGTTAAATATCAGTTGACATTTAGTTGCCGAAATATGAGAGAACAGGAGGAAATAGCTTCCGGACTTAGAATTACGTCCTTTACAATATATCGTGAAATTTTAAACAAAAGAAGATAACGGTGAAGTTGGAAGTTTATATTTATACCTATCTGTAAATGAGATATTCCTAGGGCTAAGGTGAAAAAACATTTGATGCTTACCATCAGGGCTCTTGTTACCATCGCCACCTTTACTGTCGTCTGACATACCGACTGGAACAACTGGAGGTGTTTCTCCTTCAGCACCACCTGGAGAAATCTTTAAATCCGGTGGGAGCTTAGGGTGGTCTGGTCCAGCAGCAATAGCCGCATAAGGATCTGTTTTACTTTGGTCATTTTCTTTTGGATCCATTGCCGAGCCACTTCCACCTTCGGAATCTCCAAGTTGAGAGCCGTTACTGGATGAATTCTTTCCAGCTGCCGCTGTTACGTTTGGAAGAACTCCGCTGACCAACTTGTCAAGTGCTTTCAGCGCGGAGGTAGTATTGATATCTTTAAATTGACTTATACTCTTAATTCCGTCTCTAACTTTGCTTAATGGGACACCTGTCGACACCCCTGCATCATCTACCTTATGAGCATCTGGGCTTGGTTTTATTTGAAAATTCGTAAACTCTTTACGATCAGGCATCACACTACCAGGCTTAGCATTTTTAAGCTTATGAAAGAGTTTCAAAAGGTTCTTGTGAATGCTTGTTTGAAGGCTTTTAATTTTAGTTTTTTCTTTTAAAGGAGAAGCTCCACTTTCCTCATCTTCGCCGCAGTCCTGATGTACGGATGACTTCTTTTGCGCACCAATGGGGTGAGGAATGTGAGAGTTAATACTCTTTTGATGCGATTGTAGACTGCGAACTTGATCTATACAACCTAAAGAATTGGAGTTAAAACAAATGATGAGACAGTAAGACCGGAGTCATCTGTGCATACAGTGAGATAATATAGTCATCACACAGGCAGCTGATGTAATGTATTTTCTCCCTTTTTATTGGCCGATATTGTCCGCTCTCCATTGATAAATTACGATACATTCTCAACTTTGTCACTACTTGTTACTGACTTTCTGTTATTTGACATTGACACACCAGAAAGACAAAGAGAATAGCAGCTTACTAAAGCATATTCAGTTCAGCAAGCTTCTAATATGTTGCCTTGAGACTTGTATGATCATTGAAGTAAATTTATTGAATCTGAACCTTATTTTAAGTAAGGCTCATTCTTTGCCACCTTACTCGATACCAAACAACCAAAATAATCAGCTGATATGTTTTTACTACGCTGTAAGTGACTACCCTCATAATTATGTCAACATTCTTTTTGATTGCGGCACGATCATTAAGTGATAACATGGCATCATGATTCACTCTGTGCGGAAGTTACTATGACTGAATTGCAACGAAAGATGAGAGGATAATACTGGATATCGAAGAAGACTTAAGAATACAGACGAAATCCTAATACCTTTTGAAGGCCTTCCACGAGATATGTCTGAAAAAGCAAACAACAATATAATAGAAAATCTCAGGAGCTGAATATCGCTTACTAAATGTTGGTTTATTATACTTAGAATTGGTTGTAGAGATAAAGTAGAGAACTAATGATTAGTTTGTGAGTAAACTGAGGTCTCACTGACTTTGAAGATAACTTCTGACGTAGCCAGTCTAACAAGGAAGAAGGAGAGGACAATATGGAAAATATTATTAATATTATTGTTAAATGGAAAATATTACCAATGAATTGCGCATTTCCTTTTTTGTTTAAGTTCGGAATATAGTTTACTCGATTTGTTTCAAGTAAGAAATCTGTGACGTTTGAAAGTTCTAATTTTACAGTATAATTTTTGATTAATTGTAGATGTAAATTGGGACATTTTAAACACGTTGCATTCTCTTTTCATTGGGCATCGCTATGCTTCAGATGTTACCGCCGTTCCTTGTAAAGTTCTTTGCAAATTAAAGAATGTGTTAAGACACCCCAGTACTCCAGCAATAACGAACGCTCATTAGTTTTGTAACGCACTGATAATTTTATTGTCAAAACAACGGGTACCAGCTACTTACCTGCGAACAGAATAACTGCTAAAAGCAGCGAAAAGAGTGTCGGCCGTTTTCTCGTCATTCTTCAATTCTCGCATTTGCTCTAGAAAATTAGTATATAACAACACCATTTCTACAACATGATATGTTTTACAGAATACAATTTATTTGTTCAACAGGACGTACGAAATTTACAAGCACCAAAAGAATTATTTGCAGTGTAACCCCACGGCCCAAAGCCTTGAAAAAAGATCTTGCGATTGAAAAATCAAAATATTTAAGGCCTTATGACGTTTTAAATGGATAAATTTTTTGTAAGAAGGCACATCCCAAACTCGCCGTAACAAGATCGTTTTCCGCGCGATGTTTATATTTTGACAGGTCTTTCAGTCTTAACTGGATACCTAATATTCCCGACTGTTTGGGATAAAAACATTATCAGAAGTATATAGGGTCTATCTACATTATCTTGATTCATCGGCAGAGCTTCTTTTGTACAACAAGAAAATATGTCTCCTTAGATTTATAAAGGAAACTGTGTACAGTTCTTGTAGCAGGTATTGAAAATATTATCATCAGAGAGGCTCAAAATATTATCGTATCAAAAACAATTAACTAATAGCAAAGCATTTAAAACCATGAAGGATCAAGTAGACAATACATAGTTATATACAACTTACCATGAGCTGAAGCTCTGTTGATGATATTGGTACAAAGCAATTGACGCAAGCCACAAGAAATCACAGCTCAGCTGCTGATGTAAGAATAAGATATTTTGGTAACCCAGATCATAAAATTATGGTTATTTACCAATTAAATATTTACATAAAAAATCCAAAATAATCTCATGTGTTGCCATAGATATAACAGGAAATCCCAAATTTAAATAACAAAGTGCAATTTTTTACCAAAAATCGGACTGAAACTGAATCGGTCCAAATAGATGGTAGGAAAAGGACATATAATTCTTAACACGACATCAACAGGTTAAAGGTCGCTATGGTTTGAGAATACCGTAAACTAAACAACTCAATAAGGTTAGACGTTCACACCTGTTAGCCAAAACTTTCAGGGCGCTCAACACGATAATTTCACGCCTCAAAGAACCAGATTAGCTTTAAAAAACTCGAAGGTTACTGAAACTCAGTCCTGGATCTATAGGCAGTTTCCACAATAACTTCCATGTGAAGTGTACTACCAAGGGATGGATAGACAGCCGCATCTTACGGTCTAATATCACTATGGTTTTGACGGCATATTATATATATACATGTAATATAGAGGGATTTAACTTGGTGTCCGTGAAACAGTGCTCGATACAAATAGTAGAGCGGGTATAATATGTGGTAGGCAGAAAAAAAAACAACTACATATACATCCCTACAGACCTGTTTCGTGGTTGCTCACTCATCAGGGGATTAAAATTATTTAACAATTATCCGCCTCAGGTTCGGTAAATATCGTCGAATAATCCCCGAGACGAAGTCGAGGGGATTATTCGACAATATTCACCGAACCTGAGGCAAATAATTGTTTTAGAATAATTTCAGAGCTGAAAAACAGAGAAATTTCTAAAATCATAACATTTTAGTAACATTTATTAACAATTTATTTTAACATTTCAGAGCGGTTTATATAAAATTTTAAAATAAATTGTTAATAAATGTTACTAAAATTTTATGATTTTAGAAATTTCTCTGTTTTTCAGCTCTGAAATTATTCTAAAACAATTATTTGCCTCAGGTTCGGTGAATATTGTCGAATAATCCCCTCGACTTCGTCTCGGCGAATAACTGTTAAATATGTATAATAGAGAACACATATATATATGGCATTTGGCAATTTTATCCGACGAGTGCTACACAGGCTGTGTGGTACGAAACTAAATAGTAATAAATGCCAAGCCAAATCTTCAGTTGACCACTCCGTTCTCAATTATAACACGCTCTAGTTCACTATTGAGCACTCTGAAAGCAGTTCTGCAGATCAACTTGTTATATATATGCTCGCTAGTTTACTCTAGTTTGAGCACTCTGGCATGGCTTAGACGATACCACAAAGGTTGGGTCGTTTGGGGTGACCGTCTCGGTTCTCCCCCATTCTAGCATCAGCACTGCACTGATGAGGCCCAGAAGGCCGAAACAGTACTGTCTGCAGTTAGTTATATATATATATATATATATATATATAAA